AAAAATAAGTTAAAGAGTAAAATGGGGGGTTTCTCATTTCATAAAACTTTTTTTTTTTTTTTATGAGCATGTAGTACATGTTAATAGATAACATGTTATGTTGTAGGCCTAAGTCACCCAACCAAGATTTTTTGTTTAAAACCCGGCCATCATTTTAATTAATATTTTAATGTTTAAGTTATGAATGCTATATCAGATGCAGGTAATCACACTTGCTCAGTCCATCTCTATCTCATTATACTCTACTACACATAATACAGTGAGCTTTTAATACAATGATAAACAAGCTTTCAATGAAGCAACTCAACGTTCCTTCGTTACTATTCTAAAGTGACGTTTTCGAATTAGAGTCTTCGTCTCAAACTGTCAAACTGAGATTTGAATCTGTGGTGGAAGGAAATAGATCTTCACACAAAAGGTGGTTGTTTCTTATTTATTTACACACTTGTTCCGTCACTAAATATAGCTAACGAAATATATATTGTGTGTTTGATTGGTCCAGACGCTACACTGTTGTGTAAAAGCAATATCACACAAGTAGCCATGCAATATTGTGATTTCGGATTAAAATGGCAGAGAACACTTTATGTTATGTTTTAACTTTAATTGTTTTCACTGCGGATTATCAGTGCTATTATCAATACTGTTATTATCAATATGTATGATCGTCAAACCCTGCTAGACATGGGAACAACCACTGGAACTTGGGAAAGTAAACCACAGTTTAGTGACCCATTGTTCACAGATGTGGTTCAGGTAAACAATAGTGTGGCCCCACTCACTTGGACCAATCGCCCACGCAAGCATTGCCAGAAAAGAGGCAGGCCAGCCAGCATGTTGTTCAAATCACATTGACAGATGCAGACCAATGCCGATGGTCACCAGATTACAATACGTCAATTCTCAGACCTTCCAAGACCCGGCAAACAGCGATTTAACATGTTCCATTGGTGAAAACAAGTGTCAAACAATCCCAACAGACGCCAACAGGGTTAACACACTGATCAGAAAAAATGATCTGTCAGTGCAGTGTGAATTGGCCTCTACTGCCAGTGATTTGTTGTTTTGCACCACATCCAGTGTTGGGTTCTGTTGTCTTTAGCTTCGTTGCGCTGCTCACATCATGTTGCAGACACAGCGAAAGCATAAAAATTGCAGGTGTTTTTACTGCAAGTTTTTCATTATAAAAAAAAAAATAAGTTTAAACATTTTAAAAATAGATTTTGACCAAAAATGTTTGAGAACCATTGTGTTAAATGAGCAAAATATGCAGAAAACTCTGCAGCTAAATGAGGCTATGTTCACACTTGGCGTCTTTTTTGAAGCTGCCAGTGTCTGTTTTACATTACAATTCTATGGAGTAAACTGTGTTATCAAAAAAGTCCTGAGCGCTTTTTAAAACGCCAACGCCGGTGTCTTTTTCTGCAGCTCAGAGCGTCTTTTCAAGCTGAAAAAAGTTCCAACTTTTCTAAAAAAAAAAAAAATACAAATAAAAAAAAAGCCCCTACGTCAAGCGCTTTTTGACAGCTGACCAATGACAAGCGAGTAGCAAGTCAGTGAAGTGAAGTGACATGTGGCTCTGCATTTAACCCATCCAAGAGCACACACATAGTAGTGAACACACACACACCGTGAACACACACCCGGAGCAGTGGGTAGCCATATTGCTACGGCACCCGGGGAGCAGTAGGGGGTTCGGTGCCTTGCTCTCAGTCGTGGTATTGAGGGTGGAGGAGAGCGCTGTACATTCACTCCCCCCACCGGACCTGAGACTCGAACCCGCAACCTTTGGGCTACAAGTCCGACTCTCTAACCATTAGGCCACGACTGCCGAAGTCGTTTCCCTAACAACAAAAACAACAAGAAAAAAATGGAGAAGATAGCCGGTGGATACATCGTACTAGTTTCGGAGCACAAAGAGTTGTATGATATGAGCACAAAACTCTATCTCGTCTAAAATATACACCTTTTTCTTCAACACGGATGTAAGCCTATGGGCGAGACTTCCGGGTCATTATAGCTAAATAATGAGAAGAATAACAACGTGCGGTAAACGTTTGCACTACAAACCAGTGTGTTCATAATTAAGATAATACATTAAAATAATATGGTAAGACACCAATTTTTTATATCAAGCAGCAAAACAAACTGTTTTGTACAGCTAAAAATAGCTGGACGCGGATAAAACCGGAAGCTAGACCCATAGAATTTACAAATGGCTGCGCCCATTTTTACGGCAAGAAAAAGCTGGATACCGCAAACGGTGCATCATCCAACCGGAGCTCCTGGACTAAATTGCTGTAAGCACCATACTGTTTCCTTCCCCGTATATCCCCGTATAATGTCGCGCACCCACAAACGTCATTGTGAACCGACATTCTCCTCCCCGTTAACTTCAAAAGCCAACGCAAGAGCCAATTTCTCGACATTTCTGCAGCACACACTAGGCTACTGTTGCAGCTGTTGTTATAGCCCTCGGCTGCTATTTGTAACCAAAACACTGCCAGCTTTTTATTTTACTAAAGAAGCTCTCTTGTCAACTTTTTCTTGTCAAAAAAGACGCCAAGTGTGAACATGCCCTAACTTGCCCATTATTGACAGATGTGCATTATTTGTTGATTTTATAGAGAACAATTGCAATAATGATTGTTTTGACAATGAGCATCTAATTCAATTTCTGATGCATGCTGTGTTTTCATAATAACATAATAACAGTGGGTTCTCACCTGACACATGAAGCCCGGGATGATCCTGTGGAAGACAGACTGGAGGTAACCGAAGCCCTTCTCTCTCGTACACAGAGCCCGGAAGTTCTCCGCCGTTTTGGGGACAATGTGAGCGAAGAGCTCCATGATGATTCTCCCAGCATCCTCACCATCTATGGTGATGTTGAAGAACACCACAGGGTTGGACTCTTTTGAAAGTGCCTCGGCGGCAGATGTCTGAGCAGCGTCAGTCTGTGACATGCGGCTCTGGCAGTCAGTGAACGCTCGTCTGAAGGACTCGGCCAGCTCTGGAGTCTTGAACTTGGCCGCCAACTGCTCGACTTTCCCGTCTCCCTCTGTATGTGTGAACAAACATGCAGATGTGAAGGCACCAGCAGGAGAGATATGTGTATGAGGTGAGGAGCGAGGCCTGTACCGGAGTAGTCGGTGGCAGTCCACACCAGCGCGTTAGCCGAGATGTTCATGGGCTTGAGCTCGATGCTCTTGCTGATGGTGTGGTTGGCGCAGACATTTAGCACCTGCTCGCGTCTCATCACCACACGGTAGTGCTTTTTCACGGGGTGGTAGAGGATCTTGATGTCTCCCACGCCACGCTCCTTCCACTGACTGAGCTCACGATCCCAACGGTACAGTTTGGCTCTTTCTTTGAACAGGATCTCTTCGTCCTCCTCACCGGACCTCACCTCCACCTGCAGGAGAAACATCAGCACATGTCACACTTCTCTAGAGACGTGAAGATCAGAGCTAACAGCATTACAGCAAACGCTCACCTCAGGCAGAGACACGATCGGCTCAAAGTGGATCTCGTCATTATCACCATCAATGCCCTCCTCTTTTTCTTCACTTTGTGTCGCTGCACATCCAAAAACTTTGGCTCCGGCGTTTGACCATGTAAAATTAGCATCTGTAGAAAAAGAAAAAGAAAGAGCTGAAAACATCACACTGCCAACATTAATACTGACAGCAGCAGTATGCTAACATATACTAGCACTTTTATAATACTAATTCATAATAATACTTCCAGTGAAGTCAGACACATGCAAAAAAAACTAACATTATGAATAGCTTATAAAACAAGATGTTTGAAAAGTTTGAGCTTGTTCACAGACTTTAGACAACAGGCCCTAGCAGTAGCAAAACATAGCCTGTCAGGAGATACATTATTATAAATTGCAAGAAATGTACAGTCTTCAGGTCATAAAAATCGAATGAAGAAATGTGTAGGTCTTTAAAAACAACCAAAAAAGACCTTATGATCTGCTTAAGGACATCATTTTCCAAAGTTCCAAAACAAAATTAGATTAGATTAGAATACAAATAACATTGACCTGTGTGTTTTAGGCAGCATTAATTGCATTTACTGTATGCTTTAAAAACACTATTTATTGTCAGAAGACAATTATTAGGCACTGACCTTTATTGGCAAATGCAAATTCCTCTGTACTCTTGACTATGTCTGCAAATGAAAACAAACTTGCAGATGCAAATCCCAAAGAAACACCTGCTGGAGCAGAGCAAACACACGTCACAAACTACACAAAAACAACATTCAGCTGGCAAATTATTTCTCTCAGACCCTGACCCTCACTCATCATGCTTTTTATCCTGTCATTGTACTTTTTATCCTGTCCTGTCTGAATAGGGCCAACAGAAGAATACACACACACACCCACCCACACACACACACACATATATATATATATATATATATATATATATATATTACTGCTCTCATAGAACTTTGCCTTGTCATAAGAATAAAATAAAATAAAGTTTAGCACAGCAAAAATAGGCGTAGCACAACCCTTTTAAGTAATTTGCATGCAATGTTCTGGTTGCCATGACAACCTCACATGTTTGCTGCCGATCTATGTAATCATAGCAAAGTCACTTTAATATGGAGTGAGGTTTGGCCCCCGGAGCTCCAAAGTCAAGCTACTCCTGTGCTTGAATGTTTAAGCTGGCAAGACTGAAAAACGTGCAAATGCTAAACCCGACCGGGCCAGTATAGTTCAGTCGACCGTCCCAGCCATGGCCAGACCTCACTGTCGAGCCCTGAGACCTGAACCAGTCTCAGTAATGCATTTCACAAGAGCAACCTACCATGATCAGATGCTCCATCAGCTCCATCCACATCCGGCTTTCCCTTCAGATTCCTCACTGCGCTTTCAGAACCTTCATCTGTGCAACAGAGTGAAAATACACTGGTGTATATCTGAGGTGAATCATTTCACATAACGACACAGACCGTCTTATTTAGTTAGAAGCTGTGGATGCTAGGCATGGCAATCAAAAGCATATGCAAATGAGCGTGAGCTTTCAGGAGTTTAAGTGCACTAAATGACTGGAGAAATCTTGCATATGATTGACAGTTCACCAGAACATCCAGATAAGACATTGTTATCACAGCCCGGCTTGAATTTATGGATTTGTGTTCATAAATAAAGACAAGTCCCACCCTATAGTTTTTCACATTCTTAAAGCTGTTTCGCTCAGAAATATGTCAGAATACAGAAATCAATCAGCCATAACTACTGTAACAGGACACTATTTACAGTAAGAGTGGTGAAATCAAAAATCAAAATGGCAAGATGTCGTAGAGGGTTGCTTTTGTTACGTTTAAATTGATGTTGCTTTTTCTAGCTGTTAAGGTTCAAACAAGCCTAAGACATTGGCTTAATAACAAAGGGAATGGCAAAACTAAAGGATTTAGGCTTACCAGTATCGTGACCGCAAGCATCTACAGACTGATCTGAGGAACTTGGGGCTGCCTCTTTTTCTTCCTCTTTGTGAACTTCAGCAACATTTTTGAGGAGGTCTGATGTAGATCCATTTTGTGACTGTTTGTCTGATGTTTTTGCCTCAGATTTTGCAGTAGCAGCGCTGAATACACCAACGGACACTGGCATGGAAAATGAAACATTTGAACTGCTTGATGACTTTTCAGCCTCAGTTGTAGAGGACTCAATCTTGAAGCCTTCTGAGGATGCTTTATCAGTTCTTGTACTGAACTGAAAAGCATTGCCTGGATTGGCTTTAAATGCTGTCGCAGCAGGTTGGCTGGCAGAACTACTAAAACCGGAGGTAAAAGAGGAACTTGACGGAGCAGCAGAGGTCTTGTTTTTCATACTTGGTTTTGCCGTCTGACACAAAGTGCTGTGGCTAGATGTAGCCTTATTTCCTCCTAGGCAAGTGTCGCCATCCAACTGTCCATCTTTTTTAGCCAAAAATAACCCTCCTTGCAGCGTTGCATGACTTTTTTCAGTGCTGCAGGGGGCCGTGTCACATGGGACCGCTGGAGCTGCTGACACTTTCTTATGTTGTGGTGCATCAGCCTGAATTGTTTTCTTCTCAGCCTGAGCTCCAGAGCCAGCAGATGACACCACAGCATCCTTCAATCCAAACCCAAAAGAACCTGGTTTTTGAGATCCAGATGTGAAGCCCTTCAAGCTGACATCAGTGCTGGCGGTGTTCTTAGCAGAATCTCCAGACAGTCCAATAGAAAACAATTTGGCTGGAGGAGCCACTGGAGCAGAGCCTTTGAGTTCCTCTACAGCTTTCAGCTTTGCTGTAGAAGGAGTTATGAGATCAGTAGTTTTGGATGAAATCTGAGGATATGCTGGAGACTGGTTGTAGCACACAGAGGGACCTGTAGTAGAAGCAACTGAGACAAATAAAAGGAATGGTTTTAAACGGGTCTTAATTATTGTATACAAATATGGTTCTCTTTTTTTGGCAACAGTCATTCTCCATTCTCCAGGTTTTATGAAGGTCAATCTAAATCCTTTTTATGACCTTGTCAAAACCAATTAAAAAAGAGAGAGAGAGAGAGAGAGAGAAATAAACTGACACATATCTTCCTAACTGGACACAATATGTCAATATGCTCTCAGTATGTTCAAATGTATAACAAAAAATACATTTTTAGGGCTTTATGAAATAAATTTTTTTTTCTCTTAATTGAATTCATAAAACAACTTTTGGATGTTTATTAACTCATTTACAATAATAGGGCACTAAGAATTTTTTGTTGTTGTTGTTTATTTGTCTCCCCAGATATTTGCATTGTATATTGTAACTTTTCTGGTAATCAAATGAAGGCATAAATCATTAATTTAATTGATCTTTTAACCAAAAGAAAATTAAACGAATCCTTTTTTCTTTTTTTTCTTTCTTTCTTTTTTTTTTTTCGGTAAATAAATTGCTGCACAACACAGGTCTACTGTTATAATTAAAACATGGAAGAAAATTGTGTGATTATTCCTTAAAAATGAAATTGTAATAATAATTTTACAGTAGAATTAAATTCAACAACGTCGTTTGCACTGCGCTCTTCCGTTACTTGATCTTTTTATTTTGGTGCGACAATCTGTTAAGTTACTTAGTATAGTTACTTTATATAGTATAAATTGTTGTACATATGGAGTTGCATTCACATTCGAATAAAAAAAAAAACTTCTCAATTTCACATTTCTAAAAAACTTATTATTGTTTATGACGTTATGATTGAATTTTCCATTGTTATACAATTTGAAGTTAATGGGTGGAGTAGATATGGATGATTGTCTATTTAAACTGTTGGTTTGTATAATAGTGATACATATGTGATCCTAGATAATTCTTGTTTTAGTCACGGATACATTATGTGGTGTACTAGTGGATGTGACGTTTTGTGTTGGATATATACATGAAAATTGTCCAGTATTTAAATGGAAATGATTTAATGAGGCTAATTGAACATATGCTAATGAACGATGACATCAAGATAATTAGTGATTTAAAAGTGGGTGGAGGGATTGAATTGCTTTGCACACTGAGGAAGGCTACATTCATTACTGATGGGAAAAGACACAAACGTTTCGGCTCAAAGCCTTCCTCAGTGACACTGAGGAAGGCTTTGAGCCAAAACGTTTGTGTCTTTTCCCATCAACGATGAATGTAAAATAAAAGGAAAAAAGAAGACTGTTCTCATGAGTGCGGATCATAATGTCCTATAGTAGTATTAAATAAAATAATAATAGTAGTATTACTTGTAATAATAGTAGCATAATTACTTTATTACCTAAGTACATCTGAGACTTATATTAAATCTTGTAAAAGGGGGTATAATAGGTGCCCTTTAAACATATGTGGCACAGACCGATAGAACCATAAATAAAATCTCTAATGTATTTGTAAATATGTCATTTATTATATCATACTAGGGTTGTGACGGTGAGGACATTTTCCCACCGGTTAATCGACGTGTGACAACACCGGTAATACCGGTATCACCGGGGGGGGGGGGATTTGGAGTTTTCTATAGTTTCCTCGCTTTTTTTCGCTTTTGAATAGCTTGTAGGCTAAATGCCCGTGCGCATTTACTTTCACTTTCGAATTGACGGCAAAACAGAATCAGTTGCTTGTATGGACAACAATAAAACAGCACAACGACAAACACACTTATATTAAACATCAGTGGATGTTATAACAGTTATGTTCTGATTTGTTTTTGTTTTCAAGGACTTTTAATTTGCTAACATTTGTTTCCTCTGTTCCTGTTTTATCTTTAGCTGCTGACGATTGATTAATAATCTCACACCTGTTTGCCATCAAGTTTATCACAGTGTAGCCTATTTAAGTTCCTCATGTTGCAGTTCTTTGTCCGGTATTGTTTGTGCTTTATGGATATGTAGTTTGCTCTTTCCATCACCATGTTGGGTTTATTAAAGACTGTTTGTTGGAATTCTTCTACATTGTGCGCTTTATCTACAGCAACACTGTTACAGTTGCATTACAGTAACACATTATGTTTATAGGCGATTAACTACTACTGGAACATTATGAGCACAGTTTCACTACCTTGTTTTTAGATCTAAAGAACATTCCTAACCAAACTTTACTAAAACTTCAACAACAACAAAAACTAGTAAAAATGCATGTGGCTGTTTCAAAGCCGATTATTTTTCAACAGTGCTCCTTTGTGTTGGAAAAGATTAATTTTTAAAGAAATGCAATAATTAATGCACATAATTAATAATAGTTACAGTAAGTCATGCCCTAAAAAAAACCTGTTTCTTAGGTATTGTCTCTATCTGCGTGTTCATATAGTGAAATAGCAGAAGCCAGTATTTCATGGACTAAGGATCAGTTCAGCTGTACAGTGTGTCTGGATCTACTGAAGGATCCAGTGACAATTCCCTGTGGACACAGTTACTGTGAGAGCTGCATCTCAGGTTTCTGGGATGAGGAGGATTGAAAGGGACTCTACAGCTGCCCTCAGTGCAGAAAAACCTTCAGTCCAAGACCAGTTTTATATAAGAATGTGGTGTTAGCTGAAATGGTGGAGAAACTGAGGAAGGCGAGACTCCAAGCTGCTCCTGTTCCTCCTTGCCAAACAGGCGCTTTTGCATCTAGTTTCGAAACTAAATCATCTGCGATCGTCTTGTCTGTCTCACCTCACCTCACTCTTCTTGTCTGTCTCACCTCACTCTTCTTGTCTGTCTCACCTCACTCTTCTTGTCTGTCTCACCTCACTCTTCTTGTCTGTCTCACCTCACTCTTCTTGTCTGTCTCACCTCACTCTTCTTGTCTGTCTCACCTCACTCTTCTTGTCAGTCAGCTCGACTCACTCTCCTCACTGGATAAATGAAATCTGATCTGTGATGCGACTGTCCTTCGGCACGCTGCATTGAGCAGCCGCGTTCAGTTTTTAATTGTAGTGTCTGTTCTTTTACTGAACTAAATGATTTTTATTACTATAAAAAAATCTAAACGACGGTGGGGTTCGGTGCCGCGGTGGGCAAGTGACGTAACCGGTGTTGCGACTTAACAACGGTATCACCATCAACACCGTCTATCGCGGTATCATACATGTAAACACTGTGTAAATTGTTTATTCACATATATCCTAAAACATGATTGTATACAAGTAAATATAAAAGATATACATGTTAAAAATGTATAAGAATAAAAACTTATAGGAAATGTATAAGAAAACTGTATAATAAATACAAATGTATTATGTTAAGACATTCATTTTTAACATGCTATGAGATGATTGAGGACTCTGAGAGCAGATGAATCTGCAGGACTTTACCTCTGTCTGAGATCTTCTTGAGCTCCTCTCGGCAGAAATCCTCCAGTTTGTCTCTCAGCTGATGGACAGATTCTCTCAGAGCATCAGAAGGGACGAGAGAACTGAAGGGATCGTCATTTACGTCTGTAGATTCAGGAGGTGCTGAGAGAGACTGGAAACTCTACAGAAATAAAAAATGATCAGCTCCACACTTCACCCAATAACCTGCACCAACATCAGATTTGATTTGACTTGACCGTATTTCACCTCAATCCAGCACTTTCACTGCATCAGCTTCATTCTTCTCATATTCATTAAATCACATTAGAGCTACAGGCTCTAGTATTTGCCGCTTACACTATATGTGAGCTTTCTAGACAATCGTTTGGATGATGAAACATCTGCTAAGAATATAAATGTCCATCTAACAGCTCAAGCACATCAATGGCGTCTCACTGAAGAGTTGAGTTGATTTGCTCAGCAAAAGTAGCTCAAAGGCTATGAGCGTACAGACCATTATTTATAACTTTGGAGATGTTAGTGACACTGAAAATTCACAATGACCCAGTCAGCATTTGTTTGGTTTCAAATCAGAAAGAAATATTAGTTAAAAAGGTGAAATGTTAGTGAAGTTTTGTCACATTCTGCTCTCATGAAAGTTTCTCTGTGAGTCTCTGTCACAGCAGGATCTGCTCAAGTCCACTCTGATCCTGTTCTTCTAGATCTGTGTTACCTGCAGGAACTGGATGTGATCCTGTGTGTGTGAAAGCTGCTCCAGCTCAGCGTCTCTCCTCCTCAGATCATTGATCTCCTGCTCCAGTCGCTCCAGTCGTCCTTCAGCTCGACTCACTGCAGTCTTCTCCTGATCTCTGATCAGCCGTATCAGCTCAGAGCGGCTTCTCTCAATGGAGCGGATGAGCTCAGTAAAGATCCTCTCACTGTCCTCCACTGCTGTCTGTGCAGAGCGCTGTTAGGACACACAGTGATTCAGGCTTCAGTGAGTCTGAACTGAGACGGAGACAAACTTCTCTTCTTCTCCAGACTCACCTTATGAGACTCCACAGCCTCTCTCAGCTGCTGAAGATCTTTCTCTCTCTGCTGGATTCTCTGCTGGAACGTCTTCTGCGTCTCCTTCAGCTGGTGCTGGAGAAACGGATGATCGTAAATGTCACAGAAAGCTTCTATGAACAATTGAAGTAGGGTGAGGCAGTTTATCTGAACTGATAACCAGTGGCTGTAGGTTCAAACTCCAGTAGGGATGATCGGTTACAATCATCATACACGAATTAACATGGAGCACAAGGACTGTTTCACACTGCAAACATAAGTATTATAAAAGTGAAACTGACACAGACGTAGAACTTCACACTGACAGTGTTCCTGCTGTTTAACAGACATGCAGCTCTATTAGGTGGCCTTAACTACTATGTACTTACATTCAAATTAATCATTTGATACAATGCACTTACTGCGTACATACATGTTTTTTACATTGTACTTGTATTTAAAAAATACTGGCATGTAATTAGTTTCTGTAATAACATTTATAGTTACACTGTTCACCCATCCCTTACACCTTAACCTAACCTCAAACCTACCCGTACCACCAAAACTTTACCCGTATCCCACCTCAATAGCAGCAGAAGTGTTTTGCAATACAATACGAACACAATAAGTACATTGTACTTATTTTTTGACTTAAGTACATAGTAGTTAAGCCCACTTTATATAAAGAGGGACCCAGAAAATAAACTGAATTGAATCTATAAATAGATGAAATCTGGATTCAGCCAGATATGGAAAGTCACCCATCACAGCATTTAACTTGCATTTCGACTGATAGAAGTATATATGTTGTCAAACAATGGTTGAATATTTCACTCCATTATTTTATGTTGTTTAATCAAGGCCAATTTTATGAAAGATTATATTGCCAAAGGTTTACAATGCATTTTCAGATGTTGCAGTGAAACTCTTCTTGCTCCTCTTATTTTTGCTGACATGTGCAGTGTGAATGCTGTAAACTGTTAATATGGGTGCCAATATAAACAAGCCAAAGTTTTAACTAGTTCTAAATACCTGTGTCTCTGTCATCTGTGCCGCAGCTGATACAGTGCCGTGGTTTTTATGTTCATCCATCGCACACAGCACACATATACATTTCTGGTCAGTGCGACAGAAAACATCAAGAAGCTTCTCATGTTTCTGGCAGATCATCTCCTGCAGTCGTCCAGTGGCTTCAGTCACTTTGTGTTTCTTTCCTCTAAAGAAACTCTCATGTTGTTCAAGGTGATTCAGACAGTAACTTTTTAACTTTCCGTATTTGATTATTCTTTCTTACCAGGTTCTTAAAAATTCCAGCCACAATCGATCACAACAATGTATATACAAATACAGATGATTAAGCATATAAATCATCAGTTTGTTCATTTACACGCACACAGACATTATTTCATACACGACATGCTCTTGCATGTCATAAGATGAATAAATAAATAGGTACCTAAAATAAAAAAGGAATATGTTATGAAAGTCATGCGAGTTTGAAACAACATGAGGATAAGTAAATGATGAATGTTAATTTCTGGGTGAACTACTTCTTTGTTCATACCTGTTTCTCAGTCCTCTGTGCTGCAGCTGATACAGTGTGGTGGTTTTTATGTTCATCTATTGCACACAGCACGCATATATATTTGTGGTCAGTGAGACAGAAAACCTCAAGGAGCTTGTCATGTTTCTGGCAGATCATCTCCTGCAGTCGTCCAGTGACTTCAGTCACTTTGTGTGATTTACGTGAATGAAATTCCTCATGATGATCAAAATGAGTTTGACAGTAAGACTCTTGACACACCAGACAGGACTTGACAGCTTTGTATTTTCTTCCAGTACAGACGTCACACTGCACATCTCCAGCTCCAGCATAACAGTCAGCAGAGAGTTTGGTCTTCTTCAGTTTCTCCACCACTTCAGCCAGCACGGTGATTTTAGCTAAAGCAGGTCTTGGACTGAAGGTCTGTCTGCACTGAGGGCAGCTGTAGACTCTCTTCTGATCCTCCTGATCCCAGCAGTCTGTAATACAGCTCTTACAGAAACTGTGTCCACAGGGAATGGCCACTGGATCCTGCAGGAGATCCTGACATGCTGGACACGTGAACTCAGCCTGAGAAATTCTGGCTTCTGCCATTTTACTGTATGAATACAGAGACACAAACACACAACAGCTCAACTGCACTTCAGTTTCTTTTTCTCTGAACTCAGGCGATTCCTGTTTCCTGCTTCTGTGTTTGAGTGACGTGTGTAAAACAGGTTTGTCTACGAGTATGTAAAGCAGGTTCCTCATTCCTACTCGACACACCTAGCTGTTATTAAAGTAAATACAAAGACCTTGGCTTGTTGATTCAGGTGTCTTTCATTAAAGATCAAACTAAACTCTGTGGGAAAGTGACTCTCCTGGACTAGAATGGAGAACACTGATAATTTAATGTTTACTAAATGTCAGTCTCAGACAAACAATCCAAGATTATAAGTTACAAAGAAGCAGGACCACAGCCTAAAAAACTGCATTAAAAACTGCATCCTAATTATTAGACTTTTTTGTAGGACTGAAAACTGTGTCCAGATTTACAGTTTCTTCATTATCACACTTATGGATCTGTTTTCTAAAGGGTAATGCAATGTTGTAATTAATGCTGTTTCACTAGTTCACACTGTATATGAAGCGTTTATTTGCAAAAACAGATAATTCCGTTTTTTAACTCATGTTTTTTTATTGTTATCATGTTTTTATTGTGTTTTGTGTTAGTTAGCTGTATTTTTTATTTATTTTTTACCTAATCAAAATAACCCAATTGCAGTTTGATTGAGATTAATTGGAATGCACAATGAAAAAACAAGATTTTCGAAAGCTGTTAAAAATGGAGTTATCTGTTTTTGCAAACGAACACTTCATATGAATAGCTATTTGCAGAGGTGGGGTAGTCAAGTCAAGTCAACTTTAGTTATATAGCACTTTTTCCAGTACAATATTGTGTCAAAGCAGCTTTACAGTATTAAACAGGAAAATAGTGTGTCGAAGGAAAACTCCATCATTCTCCTCTGGCCAGATGTTGTGTGTATGTGCAGTGCTGTGTATTTCTCTCTGTCTTTGCTTTTCTTGTCACTTTCACTCCCTTAGATACCGGTCATTGCCAGTCCCAGTCCCAGTCCCTCCTACTTGGCCCACGGTAAGTTCCTTGCCATCCTTCCTCCACTTAGGATGATCCTGTAGACTTGTGAGATAATGACGGATGAAGGCAGTCCAGAAATTATCAGCCAACACTTGGCTATGTCTCCATCTGCATCTTCCGAGCAAGTTGTTAGAGTCATATAGAACTTGAGGTAGGGAGGCATCACGTAGACCCATGAGGAGTAGGTTGGGAGTCACTGGGTCCAAGTCTGCAACATCGGAGGATATGTAGCCGAGTGGCTTGGAATTCAGAATGCCTTCAACCTCCACTAACAGGGTTTGCAATACTGGCTCTGGCACTGACTGCTCTCGCAGGATGACACGTAGGGCTGACTTTAAAGATTTCACCTCACGCTCCCAGGTTCCCCTGAAATGAGGAGCACTTGGTGGGTTAAAGCGAAATTTAATCTTTTGCTCTGCAAGCAGCTCCTGAAGCCTTGGTGCCATGGCATTGAAAGTCTCTCGTAATTCTCGATCCCCTCCAACGAAATTATTGCCATTATCACAAAGCAGTTCTATGGGCTTGCCTCGTCGAGCGATGAAGCGACGCAGAGAAAGCAGAAATGCATCAGTGTCTAGATGCTCCAACAGAACTAGATGCACGCACCGGGTTATCATACATTTATAGAGGATTCCCCACCTCTTCTCTTGGCGACGACCGACTTTAACTGCAAAGGGGCCAAAGCAATCTACCCCTGTAGAGTAGAACGGTAGTTTGTAAAGTTGCAGTCTACTGGATGGAATATCAGTCATTTATGGGGTTTGAGGTTTGGCATGCCAGAACTGACAGTCTTTACAAGTGTGCTGGTGTTTCCGAATTGCTTCTCTACCTCTTAGTACCCAATACTGGCGGCGAAGTTAAGCTAGGACCCTTTCTGAGCCAGGGTGAAGGAATCGTTGATCTGTCTCCTTAATTAGCAGATTGGTGACAGGGTGGCCAGGATCTAACACTATTGGATGGATAGCCTCCAAGTCTAAGTTGTCCGCCCGACGTAATCGTCCACCCACCCTGATGAGGCCTGTGGCTTCATCATACTCAGGGGCAAGAGAGTTCAAACGACTGTCAGTAGGAATAGATTGTCCTGTCTTTAAAGCCTTGACTTTGAATGGGAATGAGTCGCTTTGAGCCTGCGCCAGAAGGAGTTTCTCAGCTTCAATATAATCAGCTGCATTACCAGAGGAGTCACTGTCGGCAGCAGCCGCCCCGTTGAGGGCCCTAACAGTGGCCTGGACAAGTTCTTGCCATGTGGGTAACTGACTTGGGTCGGGGAGTGAAGGACTGAGCACTGCAATAGTACTAATGAAGGCAGCTTTCCTTAATTCACTGATTTCGGGCTCTACCTCAAACATGCATGTGGATGGCTATTGGTCAGCTGGTTTAAGGAGGAAAGCTGGTCCTGAACTCCACTGGTGAGGGCCTACTAGCTCTGTTAATGTCAGACCTCTTGTGGTGTGGTCAGCAGGGTTGTGAGCCGAATCAACATACCTCCATTCAGCCAAATCGGTGAGAGTCTGTATTTCTGCTACACGTGTTCCAACAAATACCTTGTAGCGGCAAGACTCAGCAGTCAACCAGAAGAGCACAGTTGTTGAGTCAGACCAGAGGGTGACTGAATCAATAGGAAGAGTCAACTCAGTCTGTATCACTTTGGCGAACTGTGCACCGGTTAGAGCTGCACTTAGCTCCAAACGAGGCATGGACAGGCATTTTCTTGGAGCCACTCTAGATCTGGCCAAGACAAAGGCAACCTATAGACATGTCCTTGATCATCGGAAGTACGTAAATAGGCCACCAAACCATACACTCTTTCCGATGCGTCACAAAAGATGTGAAGCTCTCGGGTGGCAGAAGGATTGTCAGCCCAGTCTGGCGTGTAGAGTCGAGGAAATTGCAACTGAAGTAGATTTGGTATTTCTCTTACGCAGGTTAACCACTTATCTTGCAGAAGTGCAGGCTCAATCAGATCGTCCCAGCCCAGGTTCCGCTTCCAGAGGTCTTGAATGAGAACTTTAGCCCTTGTAGTGAATGGGATAATAAATCCCAAAGGATCATACTGGCTGGCCAAGGTCTTGTACATGTTCCTCATAGTAGGCTCCAGTGACTCTGTAGAACGTAAATTGTAACTCAGGGTGTCATGGAGGCAATTCCACTGCAGGCCGAGAGTGGGTTCTTGCAGGTTCATGCTAGCTTTGGTCAACCATCGTTCACTGTTGGTGGACAGGGCCTCAGCAGGAAGATGCCGGATCACAGATGGTACATTACATGCCCATTGTTATATGTCGAAGCATCCCTCAGCCAGCAACTGAGCAGTCCATCCACCACATCCTAAGCTTCATCTGTGGTTGGTGTGCTGTGAAGACAGTTATCGACATAGAAGGATTCTCCACTATGTTGACTAATTCAGGCATGTCACATTTGTGTCCTTGGGGCGTGGTGTTGGAGGGCAAAGATGACGCAACATGGACTACATGTGGTCCCGAACGGAAGCACCTGTCATTCATATACAGTATATCAGGCTCTTTGTCCCTGCACATGTCCCTCCACAGGAACCGCATCACTGGCTTGTCTTTGGGCAGCAGGCGTACCTGGTGGAACATGCCTTTTATGTCCCCGCTGATAGCAACAGCGTGCTGGCGGAATCTCAGGAGGACACCCAGTAAGGATGGTCCCAAAGTTGGTCCAGGCAGCAGTTGACTATTCAAAGACTGTCCTTGATGTTGGAAGGAACAGTTAAAGACTATCCTGTCTTTACCGTTATGATGTACTACGTGATGCAGAATGAACCAAGACTCTGCACTCTTGTCGGCTTCCTCTGGAGTTATCTTGGCGACATAACCAGCTACCTTTAACTTCTGGATCTCAGTGCAGTATGCATTAGCCCTTTCCGGATCCCGTGCCAGCCTACGCTCAGTGCTGCGTAAACTAGAAAGAACATCATCCCTTTATGCGTGGAGCAAACACACAGGTGTCAGTCTCAGCAGGGGTGTAGCGTAAAATTGAACACCATCCACATTCACTCTGATGGTGGCATTCTGAAGCATGGTGTAAGCTTCTTTGTCTTGCTTGGACCTGGTGACCATTTTCTCATTGTATGGGAGGGTGTCAACTTGCCAGAGTCTTTCTACATGGTGGATAAGGTCATCACAGGCTGGAACTGTCATGATGTGAAGACACTGCTGCTTACCTCTTGAGGGCTGCATAGGACTCATCGGGCCCTGGAGACACCATCCAAGTTGTGTGCAGACAGCAATGGGTCCCCCTACTGGGCCTTTGCATATGGGCTGGATTGGTGTCAGGAGGTGGGGATTATCAGATCCGATAAGGAGCAGTGGCTTCACCCTGTCCATAGGAGGCAGTGACAGATCCTTCAGGTGTCGATAGGCATTCTGGAGTGCAGTAATTGGGTAGTTGTGCTCTGCCAGACACAAACCGGTTGCAGTGAATGCGTTGCATATAGCGAACTTCACCATGGGCTTAGATACTGAGGACACCTCGAAAGATATTGATGACCCTTCAAGTTCAGTGTAACACTGTTGAATTGTCTGCGGGGGAAGCAATTCAGGCGTACCAGTTAACTTGAGCTGCTGTACTACTGGCTGAAGCACTATTGTTCTCTCTGACCCGTCATCGAGGACTGCATGGGTTTCCATAGTGCGGCGACCATGGTGGAGAAGAACCTTAACCACTTTCAACATGACCTCTGGTGAATGGTTAGGTCTGTCAAGGTAAATCCTGGTAGACGGCATGCTCACCATGAGTGCAGCCTTGGAGGTGTCGTTAATGGAGTCATATAGAACTGTGAGATGAAGTTCTCTACAGACCTTTCATGGGCGCTTGAGGTTGCAGGACTCTACTGCATGTGTCCTACCACATCTCCAGCAAATGTTTCCCTCTTTAATCCAAGTGACAATTTGAGCAGTGGTCAACTTCTGGAATTGGTCACAAGAGATGAGGTAATGGTCCCTGTTGTCACAATGGGGACAGTATGGCTTTAGCTTTGGACTGGGTTTCGGG